CACTGCACTCCAGTCTGGACGTCAGAGTGAGACTCCAACTCAAAAAAAAAAAAAAAAATGCCAGTGTGTTGAAGCTGCATACCACATAAAATAACTTAAAATTCTCATTAGAAATTGTACTGGGAGGGTAACTTGAGAACAGGAGTTGATGACATAGTGAGACGTTGTCTCAAAAATTATAGTCCAAGTTTAAGAATTGTACTACATTTTTTTTGGTTCCTGCAATGTTGATTGAGTTCTTCAAATGGCTTGCCATTCCCCCAATCCATTTACATCTGTGTTTAAGTAGCAAGATATGTTTTAAATATTAATGCTGTTATGCTAGTGGTTGTTAAGGTGGAAATAATTTTATGAAAAAGCCAAATCTAGCTTGTATCTTCGGGGAAGAACAACCTTGTGGTCCTAATTCTAGGACTTCTTTCTCTTTATCTGCTGTACAATTTTTCACTGAAAAGAAAGCTAGAATATACCTGCTGTACAATTACATGATTACTCTTAGATCATATAACAATGTAATACACTTATGCCTGTGTTTTATTCCGCTTTTGAGGGAAATGTTTTTGTTTTTAATTAAGAAAGGGGCTGGGCCCGGTGGCTCAGCCTGTAATCCTAGCATTTTGGGAGGCCAAGGTGAGTGGATTGCATGAGCCCATGGGTTTGAGACCCACCTGGGCAACTTGGCCAGACCTTGTCTCTATAATAAATCAAAAATTAACTGGGCGTGGTAGCACATGTCTGTAGTTCTGGCTACTTGGAAGGCTGAGGCAGAAGGATCGCTGGAGCCCAGCAGGTCGAGGCTGCGGTGGCCTGGAGCATGCCACTGCACTCCAGTCTGGGCGACAGAGTGAGACTCCAACTCAAAACAAACAAACAAACAAGAAAGGTGGATAGCTGGGTGCAGTGGCTCATACCTATAATCCCAGCACTTTGGGAGGCTGAGGTGAGAAGATTGCCTGAGCCCATGGGCTAGAGACCAGCCTGGGGAACTTGGTGAGACCTTGTCTCTACAATAAATCAAAAATGAGCTGGATGTGGTAGCGCGCACCTGTGGTTCCAGCTACCTGGAAGGCTCAGGCGGAAGAACCGCCTGAGCCCAGCTAAGCTAGTTGAACCCTGCGGTGGCCATGAGCGTGCTACTGCACTTCAGCCTGGGTGACAGAGTGAGACTCCAACTCAAAAAAAGAAAGAAAGAAAAGTAGATGTATCAGAGAGAAGTTAGGTTGTGAAGGGCACAATGGACAACAGACAGGACAGCAGTGAGAGTGTTGTCTCCTGCTGAAAATGTTTTTTTTTTTTTTTGAGTTGGAGTCTCACTCTGTCA